TAGCCACCGATCTCCATCGCTTCGATGGGACTCGTAGTTTCTAAATGAAAACGAAAAAATAATTTAACGAATTTACCTTCACGTTCCGTTTCAACATTTAGACAGTCWTCCGTATAATAATAGTAATAATAATAACAATAATAGTTGCGTATACTATTATATTTTTTCGCTTTACGTATTATTGTTTTGCTCGCAAAATATTTACACCCATGTATCCGATTTGTAGTCGTGCGAAATATGTCATCTGTCGACGATTGAACAATGATGTTTGTTTAACGCAGGCCGTGAGTATGTAAAACAAACAAAACCGTCGCAACAATATGAATATTAAATAAAAACGACGATAAGTACCTCTTCCTACTTCTCAATTCAAAATCCGGCCACTCTGAAGGACRRATATAAGTGTAGGTATTTGTTTTTTCTATCATCCTGTGGCAGCACGATGCGTTCGTCACTCTTGTTGATGACCGCCATTTCGCTTGTGACGACCAATTTCTGTTTGGCCATCGATCCGCTGGCCCAAGAGTACGGCGAGCTTGTGTTTTCATCTCTGGTGAGTAGTAATCAATTAAGCTTTTAAATAGTTGTAATGACATTATTTACTATGCAATGATTGCATGTAGATAAGTAAATGCACTATGTTCAATCGAGTGTGTAGGTATGAATTCCAATTGGTTTACCTAGTCATATAACTATCAATAAATTACAGTAGATAGTTATGAATATACCTAGAGTGGAATGTAAGTAGCTCCCTAAATGTTTAGGTAAATAAAAAATTTATTTCTAACCTACATTTGCGCAAATGTTGGATACCTAATTATTTCAATGTACAGTAGACTCATRCTCTTTGGTAATCCAGCCACATGTTAATAGGACACATCAAGTAATCTAACTCAATCTTAAAATTAAAATACAATAATAAATTCATAATCCTTATATTTATCTAAGAAAATTGCAAGAAAAGTCATCTAGGAAATGATATTTGCCAACAATAAAAAATTAAAAGAAGCTACCTAGGTACCTATATGATTCATTGAAATAAT